GAAAATTGATTAGGTCCAAAGATTATTGCTAGCCTAGAGGAAAAACATTAAAACAAAGTGGTATGGGTAAAAGCAGCCTTAAGAAAAGAATAGGCGTCCACATAGTGAGCCCCACAGACCTCTATATGAGTGATGACGGCCGCATATATGCAAATGTGCTTGACACGCTGGATGAATGTATGGATTATGATAAGAGATGGTAAGAGCCCCCAATAAAAGTATTTAAAAGAAAAGGACAGGAAGAAAAGTGACCACATAAAACAACAAAGTTGAGAGAAAAATAGGTTGATAGCTAAAGTGGCAGCTGAAAAACAAAACAAACCCCCAAACCAACGCACTTCTGTCAAGATGATTCTTACTCATAGGACAGAGGAGAACTGTCCTGCGGGGTTTCCAAGGCTGTCATCTTGACGGAATCCGACTGTCAGTTTTCTCCTGCAGAGCAGCTGGTATGTGGGAACCTTTTGGTTAGCCATAAGCACTTAATCACTGTGCTACCAGGATGCCTCCAAAGTAGCAGCAGAAGCCGAGAAAATGGTAATTTCCAATTTGTGAGTCCAGAGACACCCCAAGGAAGAAAAGTCAGGTGACTTACACCTGAAAACCTACCGAGCATACACATAGAGTGACTCTGATAAGGATTTAATTCTGTGACAAACTGTGATGTGTGCTCAACTGCTAACCAAAAATATGGTGGGGTGTGAGTCTACCCAGAAAAGCCTTGGAAGAAAGACCTGGAGATTTATTTTGGAAAAATCAGCTCTTTGAAAACTTTATGGAGCACTGCTCTACTCTAACACACATGGTTGCCACGAGTTAGTTTCAACTCAGTGGCAACTGGTTTAAGTAGTTTATGTGCACATAATCGATCCTACTTGAAGACAGAAATCAGAGAAGAAAGAGCCTGAAGATGAAGGGGTGGTAAAGAGATGACTGCAGGGTACAGAATAAGAATCAGAACATTTATGGAAGAAATGCCTAGTACCATACCTGCATAACTGCATTATACTTGAAGCACTTTAGCTGTGTAGTCTCATTTTAGTCTTATTTTTATTGTCTCACATTGCAGAAGAGAAAAACCAAAGAAAAAAGTGGTCAAATTACTGATATAA